CCCATCTGCCTGCAACAAGGCTCCCACCCCGCCGCTCCTGGGCACGTGCCTTGCTCCGTGCTGGGCTGAAATGCCCCCGGCCGGCTCGCATCCTCATTTCTCTGCACAAGTGACTTCCTTTTCTGTATTTACACCTTTTCCAGTCCATGAGTCATTAGCAAATATTGGGCAGTTTGAACCACATATTGATTTGTTCTTCACTTTTTCATGGAAGTGTTGAGTGTTGTCAAGTCAGATTCATTACTGAGGAATGAATACTTCACATCACCATCAGCAATGAACCATGCGCTGCAATCAAAGAAAGACATCAATGTGATTTATTGTAATTATATTTATTTCCTGTAATTTTTTATTCATTGAGTCCTTTATCAGCTGTTCCACATTTTTGCCAAGGATCAGTTTCAAGCTGTAGATCTGTAACAGTATTAGTCTTATAAATACTTGGCTGTCCCAGTTTGCCCTTTTGAAACACTGGCACAACTTCAGCTCTTTTCTGATCTTCTGCAACTTCCTCAGCAACACTTTGGTGTTGCTGAAAATAATGGTGATTTAAAGAACTCTTTGGCCACCTCTTAAATTCGATTAAGATGCTGGCAGTGTCGTGATGTTCAGCCGGGGTGTATCGCAGTGGGGATGCAGATGTCACCACGGGTGTTTCACCCCACTGTTCCCACACAGGGCGTTAATGATGCCCATGTCACGTTCACCACGACTTTGCTGGTGTCCCAGTTTGCTGATGACCAACTCAGGTAAAATAAAAGATCCGAGAGTGAAATGGCGACGAGCCCCTCGCAAACAAAGCAGCTCAAATCACTACATTGCAAAAATCACTTTGACACTTTGTCAGTTGTACCTTACCACAGCAATCGCTGGAACTAATATTAACTAATTACCTTTGTCAGGTGAAATTTCCTTAATTGCCTGCAACTTTACTTCCGGGAAACTCCCACTTTCAGCTGCCACTGCCAGTTTGAAGGCCACATCTCCCAGCGGTCATTTTTAGGAACATTCCAGGCAAATTAACGGGAGATGAAGCCATGCATGGCCCACCGCTGCCTCGGCAGGATGAGTCCGTGTCCCGCCATCACCTGCCTGACCTGCCCGCACCAGGAAGAAAGGTCAGCGGGATGGGGGTGGAGGAGAAAGGTGATCAGCCAATCTGTCATGTAATCCAAGGGCATTCTTTTGTGACCTTTTCTTCTCCCTAAAAGATATAGGAAACACAGTAGCAGGCTGCCTGGAGAGCTGCTGCTCCTTGAACCTTGACTGTACGCAGTCAGCGTGGCGAGGAGACATTCAGCAGACAGCATTCAGCACGTGCCGTAGCTGCCCCAGCTATCAAGCTCCTCCTGTACAGATGTTCATTGAGCTGTCAGAGCATCGAGAGGAAAATAAATTAAGTGTAAGTGGAAGAAGGTTAGTTAAATCTTTTCTGAAAGTATTATACAGCCATTAAATTGCATAGGAAACTCAATAATAATGGGTAATAATGATCTTCCGAGGAATTAAATAGAAGCC